GACCATGGAAATCCAGTCGAAATCTACACATCTTGAAACAAGGTAAACCACTGCGCTTAATCACAAGCAAAGTTAGTTTCTTTCAGAAATTCGAAACGACACATTTCCACTAAAGATACGACGCATGACCTGCTTGTACCGGGTGATTCAGAGAAGACGCAGGTGCGAGCGGGTTTGCCTACTGACGGGGCTATAGCGCCTTACGTGCAGAGCATGCAAAAGCCGCTCGCACCTGCGTCTTCTCTGAATCACCCGGTACATCGGAAAAGGTGTGAATTTTCCTTTGAAATTCACACACTTCTGCCGATGCCATCACTCTCAGACCTGTACTGATTTATTTATTAGTAGCTTATAAAGGTTTTTATGCAGCAGGAATTTGTTACTTATTCTGTATTGTTGTAAGTAACTCACTGATAAAAGAAAAAAATTGTCAGTAATTAAAAACAAAATAATTTCGTATAACTGATGAAAACAGTTGTCAGTAGCTTATAAAGGTTTTTACGCAGCAGGAATGCTGACAAAGGGTGAAAAAAATCAGTAACAGGATGAGAGTGTGTGTATACAAATGTCGTTCACATACCTTCAGGTCGATCGGTCCTACCCTAGTAGCGCCAATGCACTTAAAATGCGCATTAAATGCGGCAATGCACATTAAAATGCGCAAAAAAGGTAATGCATTTTTAACGCGTTTAATGTGCATTACGCGCATTAAGCGCGCATTACGCACATTAAATGTACCTAAAATGTGTTACTTTGTAGGCGCATTTCAATGCGCATTACCGACCGGCGCTGCCCGGGTAACGTCGTCCGATCTCCCCGCGACGCTCTAACGTCGTCCGATCTCCTTTTGGCGCGTGCTCTGAAGCGCTGCCTTCTTATAAGTTAGATAATATCGGCAGTAGAGAAAAATTGAAAATTGCTATGTGTTCCTTGATCTTGTAGGAAAACCTGGGAACGCCTGAAGATTTCTACTTTTTCTCTACTGTGGCACTGCACTAAGTGGTCTAGGGTCGGAGCTATAAGGGGAAAAACCCTTCAGTTCAGCCACTGAAATCCGAAATGGCGGACTTTATCCGGAAATCGGGCAGATGAAATTTTTAGGAATCTCAGAACTTGTCAGTTATAGGTGCACTCGAGGGTACACTGTAAAAAATAGTTGTAGGTTTTACTGGAAAATTTTCCATGAAGCGTATTGTAAAATTACAATTCTAAATTGTAAAACAACAAGCACAATGTGTCGACATGGAATTCATCGAAGGCAAGATTGTGTTGGGTGTTAGAGGTGTCAGAAATTTACAACGTCTTGTCTATATTAATTACAAAATATATTGTAAAATTACGGAGATATTTTTAGTGGCTACACTGGTAAAAGAAAGGTAGTCATACAAAATGGTTCCCTGCAGAGAGAGGTAGAATGTCGCACTTTTTTTCCCCAGTGTCAGACCGAAACCTTTAGACTCTGCACCAGAACCTTTGGAGACCATGCCCGAAAAAGTTTGTATCGTACTTTTCTTTCTATTCAAGTTTGTCCAAACTTTTAGGCGTATACGGCCCGATCTTTTTTTATCTCTGTACATTCTGTACAAGAGTGCAGGTAGACTGGAAGCTGCGAGCGTGCGTTCGGTATACTCGTGCTGAGGGTGGCCTCCCTGCCTCCTCCCCGCCCCGCCCCGCCCCGCCAGGCTCGGCCCCCTTCGCCTCCCGGCCGCGGAGGTCGTTGCACCCACGGTAGCCAAGCAGGAGATATGTGTACGATGCAGTCCACCTGCCCTGCCGCGCCGCGCCACGCCATGTGCTGGCCGCGTCCGAGCGAACGGGTTGAGTTCCGCCGCCTACCTCCGCCTGCAGCTGGGCCCAGAGACGGCAACCTGCCGTGCGGCAGCCGGCCACCAGCGGGGCGCGGCGCGGGGGCTGTGAGAACATCGCCCGCGCTATGCGTGGTGGCTTCGGATGCGGCCGTCCCGTCCACGGAAAGAGGGAGGGTCGGGAGGGAGGGTGGCAGGAGGCTGGTGAACGGGGTAGGGT